TGATCTGTTACTTTCTGGGAGCGCGAGCCCACGAGCTGTTCGAAAACGACGCGGGTGACGTGCATGCGGTTCACTGTTTAACTCGGAGGGATGTCGCGCTCTTCACCGAGGAGCGTCAGTTGTGTTCAGCGGAATGGGAGACGGCGACCCGTTCGGAGTTTCGTTTTCGGGGTCATAAGGGCGATCAAGCCCAAGCGGGTACCGTTCTTGTGCGTACGCGGGATGTAGCTTTCGGCCCGCGTTCACGGCTGGATGCGGACGGCGGTGCCGTCGCGGTGATGGTGGAATTAATGCCGATCGACACTACTTTGCCGGAACACGCGCCTCTCGCCGCGTTCAGAGTCGGGGATTCGGTTAAAGTGTGAAACTACCGGCAGGCCACAAGGGCCATTCGCCAGATAGCCGAGAAGGGGGGGATGGACCCCAAGCGGGTGTCGCTGCATTCTTTACGTATAGGAGCGGCTACGGTACTGGCAGCCGGAGGGGAGACTTCGGAACGAGTTATCCAGAGAGAGGGCAGATGGAAGTCGGGTTTTGACACGTACAAGGTGTACACCCGCAATTACATAGAAGGCTCGACGGTGGTCTCACGTAAATTAACCGAAGCCGGGAAGCGCTCGCTAGCGCAACCCGGCCAAGCAACCAGATGGAATAGAACAGCGGAACCGTAGGACCTGCCCCGCGAGGTGGGAGTGTTTCTACGGTACGTATCGTTGGGGTCTTGGGGCCATCCTAGATCGACTCCATCTTGCCCACTCCAACTAGTAGTGCCGAGGAGAAATTGTGGCTTGAGCAGACGTACGAATTGCATCGGACCGGGCGGACGCGCCGCCACGGTTTCACGTTGTCGTCGTCGGAATTTCTCTTCGGGATCACCAGCTTGAATGATAACACATGGCATTTCGGAAACATGTCGCAAATCATGAGTTTTATCGCGCAGCCAAGGCATAGCAATAAAACGGGGTTTGTGAGAGTGAGAGAAAGTAAAAGTCAACACAGAGGTAGATCCAGGAACGAGAGTGACTTGACCAGAATACTATAGTCTAAGAGAGAAAAATAATTCAAAGAAAACGTGAATGCTGTATCGCGCGAAACAAATACTTGGCGCGGGAAATGAAACAAAACGGGAAACAAAACAAGACCAAAACACAACCCATCACAAAAACAACAAAATGTTCATGCCAAATTCATCACAAAATCACGGTGAGACTCGAAAGCATCCTTCGGCAAACTGTTCGAAAGAAGTCTGCACGCTGGTGCGGCGACGGCACGTGGATGACCGAAATTTCCTTCCTCTCTACCAGTTCCCTGAGAAAATGGTGCCTTACATCTATGTGCTTCGAGTTCGAGTTTGAGATGGGGTTCTGCGCTAGTTGACTCGCCCCCTGGTTGTCCTCGAAGATGGGGATGCATGGCATTCCGACCTGCGGCAACATGAAATGCTAAATTTGCCTCAAAAACAAGATCTCCTTCACTACGTCACCAAGCGCGACGTACTCTGCTTCTGTCGTCGAAAGCATGACACACTTCTGCGTTCTGGACAACCAAGACACGGTGTCCATCGCTGCATTCCAGTGTACCAGCTTCGAAGATGCGCAATACCTAGCTACTGCCCTTGCTGCATTCGCAATATCTAGCCTAGTCTGAGTCGCCAGCCACATCAAAGATCCGNAAAATATCCATCGCTGCATTCCAGTGTACCAGCTTCGGAGATGCGCAATACCTAGCTACTGCCCTTACTGCATTCGCAATGTCTGGTCTAGTCTGAGTCGCCAGCCACATCAACGATCCTACCAGCTCACGAAACGGAAAGTCTGTCGCCACCTCATCCGCATCAAAATCAGAAAGCTTCACCCCCGAAGACATGGGAACGCTCTTACCTCTCACTACTCCATACTCTGCTGCTAGCTCGTCCGTGAAAGTCTGCTGGGAAATCGTCAACCTACCGGTCTCCTTNTGCTGCATTCGCAATATCTAGCCTAGTCTGAGTCGCCAGCCACATCAAAGATCCGACTAGTTCACGAAACGGAAAGATCGTCTGTCGCCACCTCATCCGCATCAAAATCAGAAAGCTTCACCCCCGAAGACAT